AAAAAAAAAAAAAGATTGCGACTCACGTAAACGCGCATGACATGATTTATAATTTTTATACGTTATTATATAAATAATATAAATTTATTTATATATATAACATTTGAATTTTGATATGTTAAAAAGTGTTAATTATTAAAACTACATGTGACATCGTATGAAAATGTACGCCACAAGTTACCCTCTTAACCCAGCTACAACTCAAACCAACTTCCTCATTTGCCTTAAGTTTCGTTTGGAACACCCTTTAGTGTGTGTTTGTTTTTAGTTTTTATATTTTTTTTATTTTTAAAATATATAAAATATTAATTAAAATTAAAATTAAATATTTTTAATATATTTTATATTTTTTTAAATGTTAAAAAAAACTTATAACTGCGTTTATAATTTAAAATTATCAAATTAAAATTTAATTTAATTAAAAGAAAAAATTATCATTTCTGTTATTTTACTTGAAAGACCAAGTTTAAAATTGTTTTTGTCAAGGATATATAACTATAAATAATATTTTTCTTGTTAAATCTTTTCTTCTTCTTTTTTATTTCAAAATTTAAATTTAAAATCAATCAAGTACTTAATCATGTGCATCAGGAATGGGGTATAATTGGTTACCCATAAAAAAACCAAGGATCAGATTCAAATTACCTAAAATATCATGACCCCTCATCATAAGTTGGATAAATCCCCCCCGCGCAGAATCCCTTCCCTCCTACGAAGATACAGAGTTAGACCTTCCTTCTATTTTCTCAGTCATTCATTTACGTTTGGATTTGTGTTTTTATGAAAAAAAAAAAAGGACAATTATTCCTATTAAATTCTGAATTCTCCGATTCTTTGCTTACCTTCAAACCTCTCCAAACTGGCCACCGCCAATTGCGTTCAAGTTTTGTGGCGTGAGTTGAGCAGGAAGAGCATGAATGCGAGCGAAGTTTTGAGGGATTTTGGAGGTTTGATTCTGTGAATTTCTTTAGGTTAGGTTTCTTCAATTTTTATTTATTGAATTCGTACAAGATGGAGAAGTACGAGTTGGTGAAGGACATAGGATCGGGAAATTTTGGGGTGGCGAGGCTGATGCGAAACAGAGAAACCAAAGAACTCGTCGCCATGAAGTACATTGAG